GTCAGCGGCGGCGGTGGTGGTGGAGGTCGTGGTAGAGGGGTCCGTGGTGGTGGTGGTGGTGGTGGTGGTGGGTTGGCGCTCCTGGGGGGCTTCGGGGGCCGGCGCCTCCCGTTCCACCGCTGGCTCCAGGCCGGCCGCTAGAGGGCCCAGCTCGTCGGAGGGGGCACCTGCAAACGAAGCGAATCGCCGTTTGATACACAGTTGGCCCAAAGACATGTTAAGGCGGCTTCACACACTCGTTATTCTGTGAGTAGCGAGCAACCGCTCGCCGAATTCCGAGTAGTGTAGATGAGTTGCTCACTATTTGCCGAGAGACGAACATTCGGTGCTCGCCCTACCCACCGCGTGTTGGTCTTTTGCATACATCAAGGGGGAACAAACATTCGCTGAACACATCAGCTGTTCGGGATCAGGCGATCAGTACCTCTCTTCTCCGCGAATGCTGAATGGGTGGAGCCGCCTTCACACACTTCTAGCACTTTATTCATTGATTAAATCGACATGAAATAAAAATATGCAGAGAAATGCGCCCTGCATGATACAATCGTGTATTAGGTACATCATATAATGGCAATTCTTTCTTAGAAAAGTATCTCAAAACAGTTTAAAGCATAGATTTTAAACAGATTAACGTAACTTCTCATTTTATGACTATAATATTACATTTCGAAGTTATGGTATTTTATTTACGGCAAATCATGGAAACTTACTTAAATGAAGGTTATAACATCGTTATTAAATAAATGTAAAATATTCACAAAGAAATACGATTAGTAATTACTGTAGGAAATTCTAAATATTGGATATACATTCAAAAAGAGATCCAATATAACGGGTACAGTAGCGTCTTATTATTAGATACAGATGTTACTGAATATTATCCTCGTTATTGTAATATAGTGCAGTATTATTTCGCTTGAATATGTGCACTGGTTTATTAATGCTAAAAGTACAACAAGTTGATACGATTCGTAAAGTAACCAATTTTCCCAACAAGCTGAAAGAGTAATGTGTATTGTTCCATTACAAACAAAGGCAAGTATTGGTGGTAATAATTCATAAAATCTTGTAAGTATCATCATTTGACAGTAAAAAGCATGTTTAATTGTTCCAATATACTTAACAGGAAATAATTAAGATTTCATGACTTTTTACGTGTACTGTAATTCTATCTGTGAAAAATTACCTATTATGAAGACGCTGTTTAAAACATGTGTCCCATAAATCACTCTCCCAATACCTTGAATCATGCGGAAATACCACCTTAGCATGACTGCTAATTTTACTGCCAAGAAAACAAAATTGCAAAAATAATATTGAGCGCAGAGGGGACAGGAGACGCGACGGGGACAGGCGGAGGAAGGGGCTAAGTCGCTAAGAAGCACTGCTGCAGAGGCGGTGGCAGCGGCGCGTGGGAGGCGGTGGGAGTGGAAGCCTGGAATCCGACTTTACGACGCGGGCGCGGCGCAATAGGCAGGTACGAAAAGTACTCCGCGGATTTCTCCAGACGTTGCGTTTTGCCACGATGCATCTCGCAACTGCTATTAAATATTTACGATGGTGCACTTACCGCCGCCTCCGCCTCATCCTCTAACTTGTATTTCTTTTAATCTGCCTTTTGCGAATTATACGCCACGATAATTTATTTGGTCTAAGTGAAAACGATATCTTTCTAGTTACGTAAACCAATGTATTAATACAAGAGGTGAATTCTTCGTTTTAATGGAACATTGATAAGCGAAGTTATAAAAGTGAATATTAAATGTGACGTCGAGGTACACCGGTCATATGCGAGTCGTCAATTGAGAAGATTACTGATTTACAAAAGTATATTTCTTGATTTCATTTGTGCTTTTATTCCTTACATTGCTTTTATGTTCATAACTAGAGTAAAAAGAATCGTTCAAACACGAAACATTCCTAGTCCTCAGGACGTTTCTAAAAAGAATGAATAATTCAATTCTATAAAAATCATGAAATAGTTAAATAATCCTGCATGCTATTCCGTCCGTTGCCCTTTGTTACATTTGCATTTCATTGGAAAAGTGGATCAAGCATATGACGGGCGACTCTGTAGCCTACAGATTGGAGAAACATTTTTCTTCTAAAATCGCAGTCAATTAAGTTACGTTCCGATATGGCTCGGAAAGAATCATAAAACATCGTAAAAACAGTTATCAAGCAGTATTTCAATAAACATCGTAAAGAAGTGCATCATTACATGTACTTCTGAAATACATATATCACTCCAATTGATACTCTTTATATTGTACAGAAAAGTTTATAGATATGGAAGAATATAAAAATATTTTCAGCGATTAGGAACAGCAGCTGCAACTGCAGGAAAGAAGTGCAGTTTAAAGTATCTCGCCCGTTTAGAAGTTAATACCAGAAAATTGTATCTTTGTATTGTAATCCATGAAGGAAGTCTAGCAGTAAAGTTTGCATTGACATGTTTTCTATCTACAGAGACCTTGACATACGTGACTAATCACTTTTGTGGTTCATCATGTCTCACTAAACAACAACCTTCATGCACAGATACCAACAGGAAAATTAGGCGAACAAAAACCCCCTTGTGCACTACATTGGCCAACTCTCTCCTTAACGTGTTCCAGTGCAACGAAGTTCACGCCCTTGCAGCATAGAGACTTTCTGTATTATCTTTCGCCATATTTGTATTTTATTGGAAGTGAATTTACAACCACAGGCAGATCTACAATTTTTAATATTTGCAAAATATTACTTCTAAAATCATAACAGCTGAGACTTTACATTACAAAAGCTTGAACCGACTAATAACAAAAATGATACTTTTGTCCTGAAGGTCAGTTTACAGTATTATTAACATTGATTGACGTTTGCCAAGCCCTTCACTGAAATTAGAATGAGATGGGCGTCAATGTTGATGCAGTTGTCCAAAACTGTTGACGTCCAATCATTTTAATAAGTCTGCTATTAAAATTGTCTCGCTAAAATTGCTTCACGGTCGTCTAGAATTTAGTGAGCCCCAGATGAGAAACTATTATTGACAATAAAGGAACTTCTAAAACGGAGAAAATCTCACATTTAGTATTAAAAATCGTTGTATTATGCTATTTATTTTAATGAATAGAATAATAGGGAAGTTTGATTTCGTCCCATATTTGTGAAGTGATATTACATGTACATTAATAAAATAAGTGTTTCTTGCAAAGGAGAGCATCCACATATCGACACAAGAGAGGAAATTACTGCAATAGTGAGTGTGGGGTGTGGCGGACGTGTCGCTAATCCGTCCCGCATTGAAGTCGAAGGAGACGCCCACGCGGGGGGCCGTGTTGCATAGCAACGATTGCAGGATTTACCAAGATATTGGTTGGCAGCAGCGATAGAAATCGTGACGTAAGGCAACGAGCCAAAAAAGGGTGGTGAAGTGACAAGAGTAAAAATGGGCATTCGAGACAAAACAGCCGTAGAAAAAGCATTGGGCGAGGGCAAGTACATAAGAGTGACAATGTATACGAAAAAGTTGCAGGGCGTAAGCGAGGCAGAAAAGCAAAAGTTCTTAAAAGGGAAAGTGAAATATTGCAAGGAAAGAGAAACATAAATATAGCCATAATGAGATGAGATATCACTAACAAAATAAGAAGGAACAAAATTGAATCAAATGAGAAACGGAGAGAAATATAGAGAGCGAGTACGGCAGAGATTCTCTGTCTTAGTGAGACAAATTGGAAAAGGAAATATATAAAACAGAAAAGAAAGAGATTATTCGGGAAGAGAATCAGCGCCACTTAAATAATGCAGCAGACATTAAGTGAGCGCAAGATGACAAACGGAATGGGTGAGTGGGAAGTAGCAATGCTAATAATGGCGGAAAGATGTTTCATTAGGTACCTGAGTTCTCTTATTTAGACATAGAGCGTATGCTTGTATTCTAACATTTATGTATCATAAAATATGTTTTAGCTTTATTTTCAGCTTATACGATTAACGCATTTATTTATTAGGATTCCTGAGACATGAAAGTCAATAAGATCAGACAAAACAGACACAGGGATGAGTCTCTTTAGAAAAGAGAGTAATGTGTATTCTGCTGGATAGCTGAGCCATTTTCGAGTTTGTCTCTTCGGTAGTGCCTAAAATAACGAAGTTAGATTGACCGATTATTTCGCGTTTCCGGATGTCAAATGATATGGTCACTACTTCCGTTGTGGTAGTGCATGTTTTTATCACTGTAGATGGGGGGGACTTCGATCGCTGGATCGCAAGATTCGGCTACAACCTACACGTCGGTTTGTGGGGTTTTCCCTTTCTAAGTGTCACCCACCAGCAGGGGACCCCGCAACCGGGGCACGCTCTGAGCCTACCTGTGTGGCAGTGTTGTGCCTGTAAGTGTAACTGTGTATGAAAAGAAGAGGATAGGAATAGGAAGAGAAAGGAAAGATCGCGCGCGGTCCGTTGCCCATTTGTTAGGGCACTTCTCCGGCATTCGCCTGGTGTTGATCGGAGAAACTACGAAAGACTCCTTCAGACAGCATCAGCATTCGATCCAGCTATGTATCTAGTCTCGAAAATCCTGCCTCCGTCGGGACTCAAACTCTCGGATCTCCCGGCCAGAGGGACTGCAGTCGTCGCCCTGAGCCACCTCGGCCGGTGGTCGGCCTGCAGCGGCCGCGCCGAGCGCCAGAGGCCGACAGCGGCGCTCGACGCGAGGGAGTCAAAGCGTGAGCGGCCGCGAGCCAGCGCGTCAACTCGTTCGTTCTAGTCGCTTAGCTCGCGAAATTAAATGTGTCCGCGCCGTGCGGCCGCGATCCGCTTTCTATGGCTTGGAAATGCGCCGAGGAAATTGAAAGTTATTCGCTGCAATACCCGGATGCGAGAAGAAAGGGTGCTTGATGACAAAATACACAGTTATTTGATCTACTACAATTTTCATTTTCTTCCCTTAACTAAAATAAATTGGACGTTGAGTCGTTGGTATTCTTTTCTTCTTGGCCTTCAAATCAGGACTGACCGCTCATACAATTCGGACAATACGACAATACATGTAAGTGCTGTACAGTGAGTGTCAAAACGAAACCGTAGATGTTACAATTTACTTCTTTTTAAGTCTGGGTTTTGTATTTGCTGACTTGACGTTTCTAAGCCAACATCTTGGCACATTTACTTTCTAGGCCTTACC